TTGTACAAATATAGTCTTCATGGAAGAGTCATCAGAAGAAAACCTCTTCTACGTCCTCACCACAAAAATCATCGTTTGAACTTTGCAAATGAACATATAGACAAAGCTGATGCATTTCGGAAACAAGTTCTGTGGACCGATGAGGTTAAAATTGAACTTTTTGGCCGGAATGAGCAAAGGTACGTTTGGAGAAGAAGGGGCACAGAATTTAATGAGAAGAACCTCTGTCCAACTGTTAAGCATGGGGTTGGATCAATCATGCTTTGGGGTTGTGTTGCAGCCAGTGGCACAGAGAACATCTCACGAGTAGAAGGAAAAATGGATTCAATAAAATTTCAGCAAATTTTGGATGGTAACTTGATGCCACCTGTGAAAAAGCTGAAGTTAAAGAGAGGATGGCTTATACAAATGGATAATGATCCTAAACACACCTCGAAATCCACGGGGGATTACATCAAGAGGTGTAAACTGAAGGTTTTGCCATGGCCTTCACAATCTCCTGACCTCAACATAATTGAAAATCTATGGATAGACCTTAACCTCCCTGGCGGTATGATTATTTCAGATTTTTGGTGCTGAAAGCGGTACCATTTTTTTGCATGGAAATATGTATTTTTTTTATTGTAGGCTGTAATTTTTAGGAAAAACTCACTGAAATCTGTCCGAACAAGAGTCTAGTAAACATCCCGGGTATGATAAAATTTGAAACACAAAATCATAAATTATAATTTAATAAATAATCATAAAAATAATATAAAAATAATAAAAAATTTAATTCAATAATGTAATCAAACCAAAAACACTGAAATGTGAAATAGAGCGCCAAGTTCGCACATTGCTGAGCTCAGTCACAAAATCGTTTTCAGTTTCTGATGACGAATTTTCCCACGAATCATTATCACTCAATTCTGCAAGTGGTTCTGATTTACTATCGCTGTTCTCTAGCTGATCTAAACCGCTTTTGACCTAAAGGGACACTTTTTGGACGCCATGGACGTTTCTCAGTTTCCAGACAGAAAGAACAGACAAAATGCAGGCAGGGCACAGGACAAAGCACTAGGGACAATATGTATGTGAAATAGGTTGAAACAGCAATGTTTTACTGTGTAAAATGTAAAAAAAAAAAAATGACATTTTTTAAAATTTTTAAATTTCCCGCCGGGCGGCGGCGGCGGCGGCGCCCGTACGTCCCGACGTCACAGGGACAGGACACAGAAGCCGGATGCCGGCATCGGCCGGAGGGAGATGGCCGGGGACGCTGCAGGGGACACATCGTGGGAGCGCAGGGTAAGGTAAGTGAAGAACACTTGCCGGAGCAGTGCCTCAGGGTAAGCCCGAGTGTAGCTCGGGGTTACCGCTTTTGGTACTGAAATGTTACCCCGAGCTACACTCGGGAATACCGTCAGGGAGGTTAAAAGAGCAGTGCGTGACAGACAGCCCAGAAATCTCAAAGAACTGGAAGACTTTTGTAAGGAAGAATGGGCAAAGATACCTCAAACAAGAATTGAAAGACTCTTGGCTGGCTACAAAAAGCGTTTACAAGCTGTGATACTTGCCAAAGGGGGCAGTACAAGATATTAACTCTGCAGGGTGCCCAAACTTTTGCAGACGCCATTTTTTTGTTTTCTGTTATTTTGAAAGTGTAAATGATGGAAATAAAATCTAACTTTTGTTGACATATTATGAGAATGTCTAATCTGTAATTTGATGCCTTTTGGAGATTTTTCCATCTTTCCTTGGCTTCTTTATGCACATTAATACAAATTTTTAGCTGGGGTGCCCAAACTTTCGATCCCCACTGTACATAAATAACAATATCAGCTTGCACCTGATCCCCATGGAAAGCCTCTGTAGTAAACCGCCGAGCACCACAAACGAGTGCCCCCACCACGCTGATCACAGCTGGCCACGTGTATGTACACCGTGGCCCATTGCCAACTGGAACATATATTGTTTGTTCATTAGGCCACTCCTCTATTGCTACTTGGCCACACCATAGTACTGCTTCCCTTTACGTAGAAGTCACGGTCTTGAAGAAACCATTTACACAGGCAAAACGCATTGACCTTTTCTTATCATAGAGCTATACTCTTATCATAGAGCTATACTCTTAAGATGTAAAGCGCTATGTCAGGAACTATCCCCCCTCTTTGTTAGGGGGTTCCATATTTTTTGTTGTATTCTGTTTGTGATTATTTGACTGTCCAATAAAATTTTCACATTTTAACATGATAGCCTGGTCTCTTACTGTGCATAAAAAAATCCACCAGTTTGGACATACAATTCTTGTTCGGCATTTTTTTCTAAGTTCAAAACTAATCTTAGAAAGTATTATTTTGCTGAAAGGGTAGTTGATGCTTGGAATAAACTTCCATCAGAGGTAATGAGTAAATGAACTGGAAATGGCTTTAAACATGCTTGGGACAAATATTGTTCTATACTATAAAATATACAAAAAAGTTCATGAAAAAACAAGACAAATACAAAACATGTATTAAAAAAAAACAAACAAAAATGGACAGATTTGATGGACAGCTCGGTCTTTTTTCTGCCGCCACTTTTCTATGTTTCTATGAGTTAGTCAACCGAGGATTTAGGAACTGAATGAGGGTAGGTGCCTTCAAAGAGCCATTAATATATTGGAAGATACTTCACATGCTGATAATGTTCTGTATACAGTACATTTCTATTTTCTGGTAGACAGTATAGAAGCTATTCCAGGTTATGGAATAGCTTCTTTCCTCGATATGTATGTTAGAGTTCTTTTGGAATAATAATAATAATAATATATTTAATAATATTTTGGGAGTTATGTAGTTACAATGGTATGTATGCTGTTTTTGGTTAAGTATTTTTATGTTGGGTATGGAATCCCTTTTTTAATGTGAGGGAGCTACAACTGTGTTTCATTTTATAACTGTTATTGTAAAATGACAATGAATTTTTGGATTCTGAAATCATTTCACCAAGCTTGAGGGTGGTATACGGAGGTTTGCAACTGTGTTACCTTAAACAGTTTGCACATTTCTTTGGTTACCCATGACATGAATGTGGGGTCCTGTTCTGTAAGGATCACCTTAGGGACCCTGAAATGGCTGAACATGAGAAATGATTCTTTGGAAATGCACTTAGCAGACATATTGCACAGAGCAATGACCTCAGGGTAATGGGTAGCATAATACAAAATAGCTAGAATATGTTGATGGGCCAGGGAGACTTGGACAGTGGATGCACAAGGTCCAGGGCAATTCTCTCAAAGGACACTTCAATAATGGCTAGAAGACTCTGGCACTAAAGGACTCCGAACGTGGATGCTGACATTTGATATTGTCAGGAATGGACTGGCCAGCAATAGTGGGACTCAGCTGCCTTATGAGCTGCAGTACCAGGGCTGGCCAGCGGGTGCTCCCAGCAATCAGAGACTCAACCTTGCAGCCAGCTAACACCTGGAACTAATTATACTGGTGTATTTAAGGGACATTCAGACCTGCAGACTCTGCCTTGGTGTTGTGTTTCTCTTGGGCCCTGTATCCTGTTCCTGCTCTCTGTTCCTGTCTGATTCTCTGCTGACCCTGCTCTGATCCCTGGCTTGTCTGACCATTCTCCTCTGCCTGACCCTCTGTACCACGCTGCCCGCTACCTGCTGAACCTGGCCTGTGACCCCGACCATTCTCCGCTTGCTCCCCCTGTACCTACCTGCCCGACTGATATTGACCCGGCCTGCCTGACGACGCTTGCATTGTATGTACTGTTATCTGTGGGTGGTTGGTTGGTTTGTTTGCACTGTGTTATGTTTTAGTATTGCACTGCGTTTATGTTTGTATGGTTAGTGTTAATAAATTACATTGTTTATAACATATCTGAAGTCTGCGTTTCCCTGCGTCAGTCACACACCTCTGGTCATACCCGGGAGCCCTGACAGATATACTGGGCAGAATCTACAAGAACTCTTCTCAAGCTCTTTTTGTATCCCAGGTCAGCAAAACCTGTGTAACACTTTTTCAGTGTTTTTTTTAATGGCCAAATGACCTCCAAGCAAGTTTTCGAGTTCCAGTACTACCTTTCGGTATGGCTCAAGGACCAAAAACTGCCCAATACTTTCATCATTCTTTTTATGCACTTGATACAGCAGATCCTCATTGCTACTGAAGTAAGGAAAACACAGCCTGTTCCCTGGTTTGGCAGGTAGGTAAGGTCTTTTATCTGCTCATTACCAAAATTTTCCCTATGTGTATTAAGATCAGCAAATTCTAACATGACCTCAGTGTCAGCAAAGACCCACCCATTTTCATTTGCTGTAGGAACTTCCTCAGACTCCTTAGTTCTCCTGCCAAAACAGAGAGAGGAAAACGGGGGGTCCCTGAGAGGAGTCCTTTGAACCCAAATATTCTGTGCAGGCCAAGCATTCTGGCTCAGCCTCTGGTACAGATACTGTGACCAAATCTGGACAATCCCAAAGTTGCCAAAATTTAGGGAAATTCCTCCCAATTATTCAGCAAGTGGGGTACAGCTCCAACTAGATGATTCACAATAACCAAGCCAGTTTCAAACTTCACAGTTTCTATAGGATACTCTTGAGCAATGTCATGTATACAAATTATAACAACCTTTCTAACATGGAAGTTCACAGGTGCAATCATATCAGCTTTAACCAAACTTCCTGAGTCCAGCAAGGCTGCAATATGGTTACCATTTACCATCATTTGTAGCTGCTGCCACTACAGTGCATGCAATAGTGCAAACAAAGACTGCCTCCTGCGCCTAAATAGAAATCCCACTGCAGGGACTCTTTAATGACTGGCAGAGTACCACTGGATTGGCGTAAGGCCAATGTGGTGCCAATATTTAAAAAGGGGTCAAAATATTTACCAAGTAATTATAGACCTGTTAGTTTAACTTAGTATAGTATAGTTGGGAAGATACTGGAGAGTTTAATAAAAGACCACATAGATGAGTTCGTGCTGGAAAAAAATATTTTAAGCAACAGACAGCATGGATTCATGAAAGACAGAAGTTGTCAAACAAATCTGATTTCTTTTTATGAGGAGGAGAGCAAAACCTTGGACAGAGGGGTGGCGGTGGACGTGGTATACTTGAACAAAGGGGTGGCTGTGGACGTGGTATACTTGGACAGAGGGGTGGCAGTGGACGTGGTATACTTGGACAGAGGGGTGGCGGTGGACATGGTATACTTAAACAGAGGGGTGGCTGTGGACGTGGTATACTTGGACAGAGAGGTGGCGGTGGATGTGGTATCCTTGGACAGAGGGGCGGCGGTGGATGTGGTATACCTGGATATTGCAAAAACGTTTGACACAGTTCCCCACTCACAGCTAATGTGTAAAGTAAAGTCTACAAGCTTGGAAAAATCTGTATGTAAATGGATAGAAAACTGGCTAAAAGATGGTATTTAGAGAGTAGTGGTTAATGATTCATTCTCTGAGTGGTCTAGGGTCATCAGTGGTGTACCCCAAGGTTCAGTGTTGGGACCCTTACTTTTTAATATGTTTATAAACAATATAGGGTCTGCGATTATAAATCCCATTTCAGTCTTTGCAGATGACACCAAGCTATGCAGTGGAATAACGTCCTTACAGGATGTCTCCAACTTACAAGCCGACCTCAATGCTCTGTGTAATTGGGCAACTATGTGGCAAATGAGGTTTAATGTTGATAAATGTAAGGTTCTTCACTTGGGGGCTAAGAAAATGCATGCATCATACATACTAGGGGGGTACAACTGGGGGAATCAATGGTGGAGAAGGATCTGGGGGGGTCAATGGTGGAGAAGGATCTCGGAGTTCTGGTAGATCACAAGCTTAATAATGGCATGCAATGCCAAGCTGTGGTTTCTAATGTGAGCAAAATCCTCTCTTGTATGAAAAGAGGTATAGACTCCAGAGAGAGATATCATTTCCCCCGGTACAAATCATTAGTAACACCTCATCTGGAATATGCAGTTCAGTTTTGGGCACCACTTCAAAAAGAAAACATTTGGGAACTGGAGAAAGTACAGAGAAGGGCAACCAAACTGATAAGAGGCATGGAGGAGATCAGCTATGAGGAAAGATTAGAGGAACTGAATTTATTCTCTCTTGAGAAGAGGAGATTGAGAGGGGATATGATCACCATGTATAATACATAAGGGGGGATATGAGCACCATGTATAATACATAAGGGGGATATGAGCACCATGTATAATACATAAGGGGGATATGAGCTCCATGTATAATACATAAGAGGGGATATGATCACCATGTATAATACATAAGGGGGATATGATCACCATGTATAATACATAAGGGGGGATATGATCTCCATGTATAATACATAAGGGGGGATATGATCTCCATGTATAATACATAAGGGGGGATATGATCTCCATGTATAATACATAAGGGGGGATATGATCTCCATGTATAATACATAAGGGGGGATATGATCTCCATGTATAATACATAAGGGGGGATATGATCTCCATGTATAATACATAAGGAGGATATGATCACCATGTATAATACATAAGGGGGGATATGATCTCCATGTATAATACATAAGGGGGGATATGATCTCCATGTATAATACATAAGGGGGGATATGATCTCCATGTATAATACATAAGGGGGGATATGATCTCCATGTATAATACATAAGGGGGGATATGATCTCCATGTATAATACATAAGGGGGGATATGATCTCCATGTATAATACACAAGGGGGGATATGATCTCCATGTATAATACATAAGGGGGGATATGATCTCCATGTATAATACATAAGGGGGGATATGATCACCATGTATAATACATAAGGGGGATATGATCTCCATGTATAATACATAAGGGGGGGATATGATCTCCATGTATAATACATAAGGGGGGATATGATCTCCATGTATAATACATAAGGGGGGGGATATGATCACCATGTATAACACATAAGGGGGGATATGATCTCCATGTATAATACATAAGGGGGGATATGATCTCCATGTATAATACATAAGGGGGATATGATCTCCATGTATAATACATAAGGGGGGGATATGATCTCCATGTATAATACATAAGGGGATATGATCTCCATGTATAATACATAAGGGGGGGATATGATCTCCATGTATAATACATAAGGGGGGGGGGGGTATGATCACCATGTATAATACATAAGGAGGGGGGATATGATCTCCATGTATAATACATAAGGGGGATATGATCTCCATGTATAATACATAAGGGGGGGATATGATCTCCATGTATAATACATAAGGGGGGATATGATCTCCATGTATAATACATAAGGGGGGATAGGATCTCCATGTATATTACATAAGGGGGGATATGATCTCCATGTATAATACATAAGGGGGGATATGATCTCCATGTATAATACATAAGGGGGGATATGATCTCCATGTATAATACATAAGGGGGATATGATCTCCATGTATAATACATAAGGGGGGATATGATCTCCATGTACAATACATAAGGGGGGATATGATCTCCATGTACAATACATAAGGGGGATATGATCTCCATGTATAATACATAAGGGGGATATGATCACCATGTATAATACATAAGGGGGATATGATCTCCATGTATAATACATAAGGGGGGATATGATCTCCATGTATAATACATAAGGGGGATATGATCACCATGTATAATACATAAGGGGGATATGATCAACATGTATAAATATATCAGTGGTTCATATAGTGATCTCAGGGTAGAGTTATTCACACTGAGGTCATCACAGAGGACAAGGGGACACTCTTTACATCTGGAGGAAATTAAATTTAATCTCCAAACGGGAAAGGTTTCTTCACAGTGAGAGCTGTGAAAACGTGGAAGAGACTCCCCCAAGAGTTGGTTCTGGCCATCCAAGTGGATTGTTTTAAAAAAGGCCTGGATTGTTTTTTAGATACACAGAATATAACTGGATACTAACATTTATAGGTAAAGTTGATCCAGGGAATATCTAAATGCCTCTGGGGGATCAGGAAAGATTTATTCCCCTGCAGAAGCAAATTGGATCATGCTTTGCTGGGTTTTTTTTTTGCCTTCCTCTGGATCAACTGTGGGTGTAGGATTATAACTTTTTTTTTTTAATGGTTGAACTGGATGGACTTATGTCTTTTTTCAGCCAGACTAACTATAAAGGCCTCATCAGTCAATGGACAGTTTCCTTGCAAATGTTGAAGTTCCTGGCAATGAAAAAAAATGAATATTTGCCCAGCTAGGTCTGCTGGCAGGCACTGACCTCTTTGGTTTGGGACTCAAATCTTCAGATCTGTCTCCTTGCCATGCTTACCACCCACTTTGCCCGGTATAGTCTTACCAGTTTCTGGGGGAGACCATGGCTTTGGAAAAGTCTCTGGAGCTGTACAATAGATGATGACGTTCTTAGCTGCATAGTACCTCTCACCAAACTCCACAAGATTATCAACTGACTTGGGGTCCCCTTGGCTCACCAATTTTTGCACTGGAATAGACAACTTAAGAAGTGATCCATGAGCACATGCTCCACTATCTGTGGCCCAGACAGGGACTCCAGTTGCAGCCATTTCTGGGCTAGGTGGATGAGATAAAACATCTGTGAACAAAAAGATATTTCAACTTGGAAGGATCAGGGGTAGGCAACCTTAAAGGGGTGGAGATCTACCTGAACAACATGGGAGCAGTCAAAGATCATGGGCACAGTGTTGCCTCTTCACACCTGATTTAAGCCTCTAATTGCCATTCTACCATGTCACAATTGCTTGCATTGCACAGCAATCATGGGTTTAAATTGTGTGGTGTGATGAGGAGGAAGTATATCACCTCCTCGCCACCTGTCAAACACACTCATATCCCTTTGCAGAGGAGCAGTAGTGCCTGCTGCACTTGTGAATAAGCCCTTAATTGCATCCGGCAGTGGCACTCTTAGGGCTTGTTCACACATAGTTGGGTAGGGTGGTAGAACCCCACAGGTGAATTGTGGTTTTAGTGCCCTCAATCCCTACCCCCCTTTGGCTGCTGTGACAACAGCCAAAGGTGTATACATGATGGAGCAGGAATTAAACCCCTTCTTGCTTTTGGTGGGTACTACCGCCTTACAATTATGACCCATTCAAGTAAATGGGGCCACTGTACTGTGTTTGCTGTACTGCACAAGGTTGCAGGGCACTTGCAGAGAAGCCTCATTCACTTAAATGGGTCATGCTTTGCAGGTGCTACACCCACCAACCATGACAGGACATAGGAGCCAGCACTACAGCGGAGACAAGTGACTCTTGCTCCCTGCTACAGCTCCAACTTTCCAAGTAGTCCCTCTGCATTGCACTCTGTCACGGGTCAGCAAGCCCAGGCTTTGATCTACCAGTCACCTGACTGCGATCTACTGATGGATCATGATCTACTGGTTGCTGATCTCCGTGTTAACCCATTGTACTCATACTGCCAAGGGAGCACCCATCCAAGCCAGTATTTCTTGCTTGACTTTGTCAAAATCCACTGCATCCACAGACTCCAAAATATAGTAGACTTTCTGTGATCCACCAGTTAATGACGGGGTCACCTGTCCTGCCCACTGTGTTTTAGGCCAGCCTTCCCTCAGCGGTTCCTTCAAATGTAACCAGGAAGTCCTCTGGGTCATCATCAGCAGTCATCTTGGACATAACACAACCATTATGGATGTCTGAGGAGCTTTCAAGAATACCTGCAGCTTTTGCAAGAGACCTATGTGCAAGTGTCTGCACCATTTCTGTTAACTCTTTTCTGTCATTTTCTGCAGCACTTGCTAACTTTTTTTAACAGCACCTGCATTTGTTCCTGTACAGCACTGATCTATTTGTGTAGCATATGCGTCTATTCATGCACAGCATTGACCATGTCCTGATACTAGGTATTTGCATGTTGTTGTTTGGCGTTTGCTTGCTGCAATGCTGCAATGCAGCATTAGACAAAACCAGCTGATTACCATCTCCCCATTTTCTGTCACTTCAGGTACTGGCCCTTTAAATAGCAGTCTTCTTGCTATAACTGCCCGCATCCTCCACCATATGTGAGCTAGGGGATAGGTAGCAGGTATAATTCTTTCTGGGGTGAGAAACTTTTCCAGGCACTGATATTAGTTCAGTAACATAGTGGAATAAAGTGAATCAGTTCAAAAACCTCCAAAGCACAACCCTAGCCATGTCCTGGGACTAACTACACAATCACAGTCCTGATTAAAAGGCTGTCCAAGCCTACTGGCACTCAGCCTTCACATCCATTTTTTTTCAGTTTTCACCAACCTTTAGCTCTAAAAGACATGATGGGGTTTAATTACTAAAGCTGGAGAGTCCAAAATCAGACTCCCTTCTGCATAGAAACCAATCAGCTTCCAGGTTTCATTGCC